GGCTACAGAGTTGGACGCAGGGCTCCCGGGGGGTCTCAGCAGAGCGGGGCAGAGGGGCACAATCCCCTCCCTCGCCCGCTGCCCACGCTGCTGGGGATGCAGCCCAGGGCACGGTTGGCCTTCGGGGCTGCCAGCGCACACTGCCGGGTCATGCCGAGCTCCTGGTCAACCAGCACCCCCACGTCCTTCTCCACAGGACTGGTCTCAGTCCGTTCTCCGCCCAGCCTGTGTTTGTGCTTGGGATTGCCCTGATCCACGTGCAGGACCTCGCAGCTGGCCTTGTCGAACCTCACAAGGCTCACCCTCCACCCCTCGCCAAAGCACAGCCCTCCTCTTGCCCCCTCCAACCTCCTGGCGTCTCCTGCTTCTCCTCGGAGAAGCTCCTCGCACAGCTTCGACACCCGCTGCCGCCCTCAACTCTCCCACGTCAGTAGTGCAGCCAAACCGCTGGTGGAAGCCTGTGCCAGCACCCATTGCCGGGCAGAATGCGGAGCGGGAGGCGGCCAAAGGGCAGGAGGCCGCAGCAGCGCGAGGGGAGAAAAGGGAGGGAAACAGCAGCACTGTGAGGGGGGGAGGAAAGGGCGGGGAGTGGGAGCAGCGCGAGGGAAGGAGAAAAAGATGGGAAGCGGCAGCGGCACAAGGGGAGAAAAGGGTGGGAAGTAGCGTGAGGGGAGAAAAGGGCGGGGAGAAGCGGCAGTGGCACGAGGGCAGAAACGGGCAGGAAGCGGCAGCGGCGTGAGGGAAGATAAAAGGGTGAGAAGCGGCATGAGGGAGGAGAAAATGGCGGGAAGCAGCAGCAGCAAGAAGGGAGAAAAGGATGGGAAGCAGCAGTGGTGTGAGGGGAGAAAAGAGCAGGAGGGAGCAGCGGTGTGAGGAGAGGAGAGGGCGGGAAGGGGTGCGAGGGGAGAAACAGGTGCGAGTGGCTGCAGTGTGAGGGGAGAAAAGGGCAGGGAGCGGCAGTGCTGTGAGGGGGGGAGAAAAGGGTGCAAAGTGGCAAGTGTGAGGGGACTTAAGTGTGGGGGAAGGAGCACTGGCATGAGGGGAGAAAAGGGCAGGAAGGAACAGTGGCGTGAGGGGAGAAAGGGGCGGGAAGCTGCAGTGCTGTGAGGGGGGGAGAAAAGGGTGCAAACTGGCACCAGCATGAGGGGACAAAAGGGTGGGGAAGGAACACCGGTGTGAGGGGAGAAAAGGGCGGGAAGAGATGTGAGGGGAGAGAAAAGGGCGGGAAGTGGCATGAGGGGAGAAAAGGGTGGAGAGCGACTTGAGAGGAGAAAAGGGCAGGAAGCTGCAGCACTGAGATGGAAGAAAAGGAGGGCAGTGGCATGGTGGCAGAAAGGAGAGGGAGCAGCGTGAGGGGAGAGAAAAGGGCAGGGAGTGGCAGCACTGTGAGGGGGAGAGAAAAGGGTGCAAAGTGGCAACGATGTGAGGGGACAAAAGGGTGGAAAGGAGCAATGGTGTGAGGAGACGAAAGGGCGGGAAGCAGCAGCACCTTGAGGGGGGAGAAAAGGGCAGAGAGCAGCAGGAGAATGAGGGAGAAAAACGGGGGAAGTGGCAACTGTGTGAGCAGAGACAAGGGTGGGAAGAAGCTGTGGTGTGAGGGGAGAAACGGGTGGGAAGGAGCAGCAGCAAGAAGGGAGAAAAGGGGGGGAAGGAGCAGCGGCACGAGGGCAGAAAAAGGCAGCGAGGAGCATCAGCGCGAGGGGAGAAAATGGCGAGGAGAAGCAGCAGCAAAAAGAGAGAAAAGGGCGGTAAGTGGACAGCACCATGGGGGGGGAGGAAAGGGCGGGGAGTGGCGGAGGCATGAGGGGAGGAAAGGGTGGGAAGTGGCGTGAGGGAGGAAAGGGCGGGAAGGAGCAGTGGTGTGAGGGGAGAAAAGGGCGGGGAGTGCCAGCACCGTGAGGGGGAGAGAAAAATGTGGGAAGTGGCAGCAATGTGAGCAAAGGGTGGCAAGCAACAGTGACGTGAGGGGAGAAAAGGGCGGGAAGTGGTGTGAGGGGAGAGAAAAGGGCGGGAAGGAGCAGCAGCATGAGGAGAAGAAAGGGTGGGGAGCGGCTGAGGTGTGAGGGGAGAGAAAAGGGCAGGAAGAGGCGTGAGGGGAGAAAAGGGCAGGAAGTGGTGTGTGGGGGGAAAAGGGCACAAGCGGCTGCGGCATGAGGGGGGGACAGGGAGGG